AGAAGCAGCAAGAAACAATTTTTTTCCTGGATGACTTACTAAACTTGTATAGTAGTGAAATCTTGCCTTTCTTATTGCATTTCTTCCTGTGTGGTCAGGACAAAAAGTAGCACTGTCCAGCTGCCACAGCAAGGAATGCCAGGAAGAAAATTTAACATTCAGAAAGCAGGAATATTTTGTAAATTTTGTAAAAATATAGAGAGATTTTATAGCTATGTATTTCTTTTCTTGGTAATTACAGACCAAATTGTCTTCTGATACGAAAGATCTAAGCTATGTTTCAGTTAATGAAACAAGACCAGCTTATCCCAGCAGAAAATATCATCTCTGTTTTACTGCTGTAACAGCAGAATTAGAGGAAATGCAACGGACATTCTGTAATATGTACAAGCCATTCTTAGCCGTTCAGGTGGCTCGATGTTTAGCCCATGAACCACTTTGTTCAGTTCACTAAACATTAATTCTTCTGAAGTCTGATTTTTTGCAGGGTGGTGTTCTTCCCCAGCTCCTCCTCTTGCAATTTAAAGGTCTGACTTTACACATTACAGGTTTGGAGCAGTGTCTTTAGGGGGGTAGAGCAGGGGGATTGGATAACTGCCCAATTTCATATGATAAAAGTGAAATTCTCTTCTGTCTGCAGGAAAATCCCCAGGGAACAACGTATGAAACCCAAACTTAAATAAAATCATATCCTGTTTGCAAACATCATATTCCCTTTGCTTCTCAGTAATCTGGACCCATAAACCCCAGCACAGCTTGAGAGCCCATTCCTCATCTAAACAAATGCCATAAGCCCCTTTATACTTTTACAACCATGTCAGAAAATAATATTGACTGCCAATAGTGATGTGATTGGAGTTGCCTCCTCTGAGCCATAAAAGAAGCAGTCTGTTATCAATTTCTCTAAATGCATCAAGGGAATTATGGGTCGGTTCAGTTCCAAGTTATAAATGACAATTCAAAAGCCGCAGAAGTGTTTGAAGCTGGGAGCCGATGATGACATTATCATAAAAGCCTGCTCTTCTTTCCTTTTGTGGTTTTTTTTTGCCTATCAGCTAGACAAAAAAATATGACTGAGAAATGAGTTCAAGATTTCTTCACACAGCAGCGGGTCAAGCAGGCAGGAAAACAATCACTATTTTTAGTGACAGACTGAGATAAGGAGATGAAACTTACTGCCATTAAAAGTAGATTTCTGCTTCTCTTATTGTTATTTTCACAGCACAACAGGATAGGAATTGCAATGGATGGATGCATTGATCAAATGATCAGTTACAGCTCTGGTGGCTGTTTACAGATGAAAAATTGTGGAATGATCTGACAATCCACAGAACCAAAATATAATTTGTGATTATTCTCCCCATTTGGCCACTTCACCTGCAATCTACCCACCTCTCCTGGAAAACTTTTCACATTCCAAACCTCTGACCAGCTGCAAGAAACCATCTCTTGTTATTAAAACTGCTGTTCGTAGAGCTGCTAGTCTGTCTCCAACACAAAGAATTTCATCCCCCTGGTATTAGAATTCTTTAACAGCAGTTGGTTCTGGAACAAGGTTAAGCTTGAAAAAAAGGAATAAAAAGCATTATTGCAAGAAGGAGGTCCCATACTTCAGTGGATGTTATACTGCTGACCCTGGATAGTCCTATGATGGAAAAATAACCAAAATTGAAAGAAAAGCTGTTATTTGCAAATTTAGCAGGTTAGTTTAGACAATTTACTTTTAAGGATGAAACAGCTTTTGCTCTTAGATAAGTAAGCTAATTATTACTTACTTAGTTTCTTATAAAACTGTAAAGTGTATTGTTTGATTTCTTCGGAAAGCCTAACTTATACCAAGCCATATTCACCAATGACTGACATAACCAGTCCCTAGCATTAGAAAGAATATTCATATGAATGAAGGGTGCTTACAAAATGAGGAAGTTGTAATTTTATATGCATTTTGCATTGCTACAAAAGATATAATGCTGTGATGGAAAAGGATCAGAAAATATTAGTTATGGACACAGACTGCCTCCTGTTTGCTTTTCAAAATTCTTGAAAAAAACTTTCTTTCGCTATAACTGTAAGTAGTATCCAAAGAAGAGGATCTCTAATGCTGACTGCAGTTTTAGAACAGAGATAACAAAATCAGTAATAGAGTAGAATTCAGGGTTACAGAGGTTAGTTGGACTTTAATTTGGGAACAATGTGAGCCATCCAAAACTCATATCAATACAGTCTGTAAAGCCCATCAGTTGATCAATGTCTGTGAAGCCCTGAGTTCCAGTCCGTGATCCAAGAACAGTTTTCATTCTGTTCAGTGATTTTTTTCACATCAAATTTATAAGCTTTCTGTGGAACAGGGCCTCAGAGCTAGGATTTCACAGTATTTATAAATATATAATAGGTAGACTATAGCCTTAGGTACATGGGCTGTATCCTACATATGCTCTGCCTTACTTGTTTGGTGCTCTTTCCAGCAGTGGCACAGCTTCAGTGCGTGATATGAGGGTCTCCAACAAGAAACAACATTTGATCTCCTGTGTGGTAACAAGATCCACTAAGAATGGGATCTGTGATATTAAATCCAACCTGGGAGTGTAGAGAACTAAGCCCAGGTTTCTCATCCCCTATGTGAGTAGTCTAACTACTAATCTGTTTCATAATAGACCTGCATAATAACAGCCAGCAAGGTTTCTGCTTGGTTAGAAGACAATAGGATGAAAGATTTCTGAAAACCCTGGTTCAAAATGCAATCGTAGAGTCTCCTGCAAGAATGGAGTTTTTTTTCTTAACATTTTCTCATTGTATTCTGTAGTAAACAAGTAGTGATGCAAACAAGCAAGAAAAAAATTACAACAAACATTAAAAAAATTTCTTCCATCTGTCCTTAAAGTCTTTGCATGAATTACTCTTCCTGCTTTACATTGGTTACACTCTCTAACTGTCAATTAAATTCAGAGTTACTAAGTAGCAATATTTCTTGTTTCTTTCCACCATCATTTCTGAAAGTAAACTTAAGAATTGTTTTCCACATAGTTTGAAGCAATTCCCTATCCCAGAGCTCATCTTAACCAATCAACAGCTAAATATCACTGAAAGAGAGCTCCTAATCTGATTGTTTACCTTGAAAAAGGTCATAACCCATTCCTTTAAAAAAGCCCCACAGCAAGCCTGACAGTAATAATATGTAGAAAGGCAAACCAACTAGAAAAAAAATAAATAAAAGATCTGTTTCTACAACATGTTCTTTAATCCAATTGCCATGAATTTAAATAAGAAATAAAGCATACAGACTGAAAAAAAAAAAGGGGAAGGTTAATTTAAATGCTTAAAAAAATGAAGTTACACTGAGCAATTCTGAGTTGTGTTAGCCTTAGAATGGACAACATACTGTCATTAGTTGGAGGATTTCAAAGAACATCTCTAGTCACAATTTTTTAATACCACAATAACTTGTTTCACAGAAAAATCTTACCCTTTAATTTTCAAAAAGAGTACCATAGTCCTATTTACTATCCAAGGCCCTCAAATAGATTTTTTCAAGATATTTTTTTACTCGGAAGCTTGAACATCCTTTCTCAACTTTATTCATTTCTTGTTCAATTTTCTCTGCAACAGCAGTATGAAAAATTACCTTTTTTGTGCACCATTATGTGCATATATGCATGCATGTGTGAATATGCACACACAGAAGTTTACAGAGGTGCATGTGGACACACATGTCTACATGTCAATATGTAATGTTAGCTGAATCATGTACAGAAAAGATACCCAGGTTTCCAAATTAGCGAGTTACTACTTCCGAATTTTAGGCAGAATCTTCAGCAAGCTGGGCCTACAGTGGAGGAGCTGGAATGATTACCACTTCCTGATTCTTTTTTTTTAAGTCATAGTGGATAAATCCTCAAAAATTACTAAATACTGAAAGGTAAAATGCATTTTTTTCTTTTTGTGTGTGTGTGTGTTAAAACCTTACAAAATGAGTATTTCTTCTCTCAGGTATCTCATCATAAAACCCCCCTGTATAAACATACAAGTACGGTATGGAATTTATCCTTTGTGAAAAATAGAAGTAAATAAAACTGTAGAAAGTTGCATTGAAAGTTGACCTCCAGAGATTATGGCTTTATCTCTGCTTAGATACTCAGAGAGATACTCAGAGAATTCACTCAGAAACAGTGGAAGGGAATCTCATCCAGACAGCCCATTGATATCTAGAATTATGATCGTTTCACTTTCATATTGACGACATCAGTAAATAATGGACCCAGCTGGACCAAAAGTGTAGAATGCTTTTGTGTGAAAAACCCATGTATGAGAAAAATTATTTCTCCCTGGCATTATCTTCACTAGAATTTAATAGGAGCATGATACCAACATCAGTACAAATTCTACATGTTTTTCAATAACTTAGCTTCATTCTTTTACCTAATGCTGCAACATGTTTTTGTCTGGAGATTTTTGTCTACTGTGTCCTGATACTTGCAAGCTTGTATTTCAGGTTTAATTAATTTCAAATCAGGACATAAAAATGCTCATATAATTTGTAACTTTAACAATATCCAAGTTACCAGCTAGCAGTTAGTGAGCCCTTTTCATGCTAAATGTTAGTTTTGGTAATTTTTTTGTCCTTTCAGAGAAATGTGGAGCTATATTTACTTTTCAGCAGTACACAAAACAGCTTCTCCAAAGCTCATTATGCTATAAAAATTGCACGCGTGTTACTTTCCTCAAGAATAGAGCTCACATAAAAAAACCTAAAGTGGCACAACTAAGGAATGGGTACATTTACACAAAATGTGTTCCTGTCTAACTCTTCCTTATGCTTATTGTAATGTACTGTCTTCTGTGTCTTTGAAAAAATAGTGCAATAATGGATCAGGTTTCATCTCTGCTTTTTTTATCAGCTTCTGAAGACTTTGAACTGATAATGCAGTAGTTCTAAAGTATTAATGAATGAACACATATGTTGTGTGCTGTCCCTCTTGCAAAAAAACCAAACATATACTTACCCCAAGTCCCCCACAAGGCAACAAGGAAAATAGTTTTTGAGACATGTTTCCTATATATTAAAGAAAAAAGAAACAATAAGCATAATTTATCAAAATGACATTTAAATACTCAAACAGTATTTCCTTACTCTTTACAGTAATTCAGATTTCATTATTATACTATGAAAATGCCATATATTAGTATAAAAATAATCACAATACTTAGAAATCAAATCAGCCATGGGAAAGTTAAGGTACTGTTATGCAACAGTGACAAATCTTAACATTGGAAAGCAGTATTTTTTAAGGAATGTAATGATCAAATCTCTGCAGAAAGTCACTCTGAACTAGGGTGACTAATCATCCCGATATCTGTAGCTGATAAGCATCTTGTCTAAGCTAGTCATCTTAGCTTCTTCTCCAGCTGGTGGAGTGAGGCAGGCACCTCCACCCAGCCTAGATGACTGATGGGATGAATTATACTTGAGAAATACCTGTTTCTTTTCACTGACAACAGAGGGAACTCTCATTAAACTTAAATGAAACTGTTCATTTCTTAAATTTGTCACTCTGAAAGAGCTTTTCCTTTGAAAATTGCAGTCTTACTCTTCCTATGTAAAAATGCTATTTTCTTCATTTACATACCATCAATGAATATATATATATTGTTTTAGTATTATTCAATAAATACATTATACTAAAGGGAACAAAAACTTAATAAGCTCTAGAATCTAATTTCTAGCTAGTTCTACTCTGTATATTGGCTAATATAGGGTTTATCTTAATATTTATGCTCTTTATTTATTCTTGGGGTTTTTTTTGCATTTTTTGGTTTGGTTTGTTTTTTTGTACTACTAAACTCACTGTTTATCTTGATAAGGACAATATAAAAACTGGGTAAGGATCTCAGGATTTGGTGCAATTCCTATCCCAGTATGAAATCTGATCCTAAGGCAGCCATGGAAGAGAACACAAGCTTTTTCCCTGCCATATCACAGAACCAGCTTTGTAACTTTGCCGTCTGGAGGAAACATTAGATAGTGAATCACTTGAGTTAACCTGGAGGAGCCACCAGTTGTTATGGAAGGGACAAACACTGCAGTTACTCATGTTTAGCAGGTGCCAACAAAATGCATAAAGGCAATTATCAGCCATCATCTTTGAAGTACAAGAGACCAGACTGCAAGGTCTGAGACTAAAAAAGTGCTTTACACTTTTGAGTAAAATCCAAGATGCATTTTTAACTGGCTTGAGGTCTTTGATCAGTTTGCACAGTGTGCCAGAGAAGACAAACAAAACCTCCTGTGGAGCTACCAGGGGAAATGCAGGTGCAGCAGCTATACAGAGTATTCTCATACTGTGAGTCCTGATGGCCCCAGACAAGCAAGGAAATGTTGGCTGCAGGAGATTGTCAGAGTAGAGGTACAGGCTGGAGTTTCCAGAACTCTTCCTAAGCAGGTCCAGGGATCAATTTTTCACTTTTTACTGTGGGGAAGATGAAAAAGTCTTGATCAGGTAACTAAAAAATTAGTGCTGTTAAAGTGCCAGGAGACATTAATGGAATCATAAGATGCAATTTGAGATAACAGAAGGGATTTTTAGATTATTGAAGGACTAGACCTTTTTTCTTAAATTCCATTGCAGAGTTGAGACACAGGAGACAACAGATGAATTCTCATTTACCTCCCTGCAGATGGGTTCATTGTGCATGGTAAACACTATTAAAAACAACAAACACAAAGTAAAAGCAGAAAAGCAGATGGTTAAGAGGAACTCTAAAATCAATCAAATGGTAGTACTAAAACAGGAGGAAACAAGCATGTAAGCCTTTTCAGTGTATCAAGAAACTTTACAGGATACTCACTTCTTATTGTATGATATTAAAAAAAAAGCAGTTAACAGACTCTGCAGAACAAGAAAAATGTTGAGATTTCATGAAAAGAACAATGGGGAAAGGTTGTACTAAGAGAAAGTGAGACCATCACTTAGATAGCCTCACAAAAAGGAAAGAGCTCAAAACACTCTACCAGAAATTAAAATCAGTAGCAAAAAGCTGAAAATGAATTGAAATGAGAATCTCCCATGATATTTGAAGTTGATGTCTCAGAAGATATTGGTTTACTTCAAGTCAGGTAGAAGACATATTTTAAATAACCAAATGTTTTTGGCTTTGCACTGGGGCAGAGTTTGTAGTCACCAGCAAATCCCTTGAGATTCAGTACAACAATTTACTGATAGAGCTAGAAATGATCGAAGATTTGTATTCTTAAATATCAATGCACAAAGGCAGGAGAAGCTGGTTTGTCAAATTAGGTTCTGAGGCACCCCTAACTAACTGAGGTCAGATTCCTACAGAAGTCAAGGAAGCTGCTTAGGATGTTGACAGCTTGGGACTGAGAGTCTGATGAACAGGAAAAGTGATGGGCAAAGACTCGCTTTCAAAAAAAATAAATTAAAAAATGTGGTCACTTTTAACCTGATTATTCTCAGTATCATCCCTCAAGAACGAAGCCTTTTCTGTTAAGTGTTTATTTCTTCACTAACTTGAAATTGCAATTGCATGGATGCTTTCTGAATGTATATTTTAGTTATACTCTGAATACTGACTCACTGTCAGGAATGTGTTGACAGTATATTTCTCTCTTTTACAAATTTTTAATCATTGGAAACTTGACTTTTAGTAACACTTGCTTAATGACAGTTGGAGAAGGAAAAAGGAAGCAAATTTGTAAGAAATGTTTACTGTTCTGCCCTTGAACTTAGTCAAAGAGATTTGTAAGATTGTATTCTGTCACATGAAACCATAATGTGATGTGACACTCAGTCTGCATATTAGTTTCCCTCGTGTCAAGACAATCGTAGTGCAACATAACATGTTGTTTAACATAACACACTAAAATACATCAGTCAAAATCTTAACTGCGCAATGGTGTAGAAGTTGAAGTGATCAGTTGGAACAGATGCATTTGTAGGCCCTGATGCAGGGCACATAAAACCAAGAGTTCAAGCAAGTTTATACTTGTAAACCAGTACGAATAGGTGAACAATAACTGTGTGCATAATTCTCACTGATATCAGTAGTTTGCAGTCATTTTGTTATGCAATCTTCCAGAACAGGGGTTTTTTTTCTTGAACAAGGACACTGAAGTAGGCATTTATTGACAAGTAGCACATTTCTAGCTGTAGTCGTAGTTAAATTTCATTCCTTTGAGTGTTTCTTTTCTGTTTGAAAGATACAGAAGATGCTTGTTAGGAAAAAAGAAAAAAAAAAGAAAAAGAACTTCAGACAAAGCAGGTGTACTCTTCTGAACAGGGAACAAACTCTTTTCTGGAGCATGAATGGAGAAAAGTGATGCCTCTGTCTTTCTGAATGGGTAGAGGAGTACAGAAAGGAATTATTAGGTCCTCCTTTTCAATAGCATGTAAAGCCATTATTTGATGGAAGTATTTCTTAGAAAACAAAATACACTTTCATTGAAATAGAAATATTTTCTGAGACGATGTTGTTATTGACAACATCTTTTAAGAGAAACATTTTCTTTAGATTTTTCTCATTTGGTACACATGAATTTCTGTACTATAACAAGATGTTAATTTTAATGTCAGGATTGGCTTGGTTCAACCACACTGAACTGGGGACAACAAAAGGTGGAACAGTCACACTGCATTTTGGAATAGTGTAAGAGACAATTAAGTTCCTTTATCCAAGAGTCTGGAAGCCCAAATGATTAGAGTTTCCAGCCAAAAAACAGGCACATGCAAAAGCATGTGGGAAGGGTGTTTTATTGACTGTTGTCTTGGTAAATAGCCATGTGAGATGCAGCAAGAAAACATCCTAGAAACAGAGACAGAAAAGGGCATTGAGCCAAGGATACACTCAGAATATATTCCAAGACTGTGATCTTGATATAAACTTAGAGAATAAACGTTTTGGACTAAGTGTCTAATAAAAAAGGCAAAGAGTGTCAAGGAAAGAACTGTGGGTGAAGATATGTGTTTCTGAGATAGGAGAAACAAAGCTTTATGCATTCTCTGTACAGCAGCAGAAACACAGTTAGGGTACCTGGGTCCATTCATTTTTTCACCTTGTATCTGCAACTGCACACTGCATCCCAGATGCTGGTCAACCCCTGAGATCCAAAATTGGAAGAATATTTTATATCAATGTATGTTATATTAAATAATGTGAAAAATAAAATTAAATTAAGCAAACAAAAAAAATTAAATGCTTGACTGTATCAAAAAGAACATTTTGACAATGTTGATCATATCAAATCAAAATGTTTCTAAATTTTAATTTTGCAGGAATTTAGAGCTTTTTCTTGGAAACGCCTTTTTTCTTTCCTTTTAAAGGAGGATTTCCTACCTTAGAAATTCAGGCTCCTTATTATACTGTAAGTATTTTTCAGTTTTGAGGTTGCCTTGGCTAAGAAGATGTACATATATAACATTGCAATCAAGAAATTTTTCTTATCTACTCTAATGACTTACTGAAACAACAGTCTGCCTTACAGAAGAAACACTTAGCATTAGTTTCCAAAGCAAGATAATTACTATGTATTACTAGAATTGTGGCAGCAATTTCTTTGGTTGGCTAGTGTTATTTTTGTTTGGGTTGGATTTCATTACGTTTAGGAAAAGCTCCAGATCGTAGAAAAAGAGTTATAGAAATAACTGAGAATTAGAATGTTGCATCTGGTGTGCTGGGATATAAAGGGCAGGATTTCACCCACAGATTATTTCCAAAATGCACTATTTTTTTGTATGTTTCTGACAAATAGATCTGCTTCATGCTACACTCATGGCAGAGCTCAATTTAATCCTACTTTTATTTTATAAAAGGGACTGATCATTGGCTATGCATGAAGATATTTGGCCTGAGAAACCTGTTGGTTTTCTGCTAATCTGTACACCCACAGTGGCATTTAATATTTTAATGTGTTTTCCCCTCCCATTATGCAGAACATCATATCCTGTGTAATGGGAAGGCATTAAAGTTCACTTATTAGCAAAACTTAGGCATGCTATCTGCAATCAGCGTGGCTGAAATAATTGAAATAAAGCAAATGAGAACAGCAAACAAGCAATTCTGACAAGCAAGTGTATCTTAAATTCCTGTTTGCAAATCAGAGAACACAAGGACATAGAATTCAAAATTGCCATTGACCTCCAATGGAGAAAAAATTACAGTAAATGGTTAACACTGATGATTTTTGAAGCAAATGAGGAAAAACTTCTATCGCTGCTTTCCAACTCGTGCATTTTGCTAAACTGTATTTGGCTTCCATTGTAACATTCTCCTTCCACATAGCAATGCATTTGGAAAAAGTGAATTTTTGTCACACTGCTTGCCAAGTGTTTTAAACTGACACCAGCTATGACTAATGACAGTGCTGGAATGTGCTGTTCTCGGTAGAATAGAGGCCTGTACAGACCTAGGAGTTTCCTGGGGTCCAGCTTCTGTCTGTTCAGGGGACTGGTGCCATACAACAGTGAATGATGTTCAGAGTGAACCAGCTGTATTTCTTCCAGACTGGCTTTTCGACCTCGAATTCGCTGAAAGAAAACAGCAGAGGCCTACAATATTCCACTGACAATATTTAGGGAGAAGAGGAAAAAAAAAAGTAAAGGTCCAAAATAACATTTAGTATGATTAATAATGGGTTGAAATTGCGTCATGCAGGAATGTGACACAGATTTGTTTATTAAAGTAATGCTATATGAAAAACAAATGTGTGTGTGTGCTTTATCACAAAATGCCTCACTTAGTAGAATTAACGTAATACAAGGTTTCACATACAAAAAAAAGAAAAGATTCTGCCTCTTTTTTACATAATACATTAAGAGATACAACCCAAAAGGTAAAATATTTCTTAAGTAAGAAATCTGGCTAGGAAAATATCTAATTTAGAGAGCGAAAAATTATTCACACCTGTAAGCTGCAGATGTGTTTGGAATGAGAATTAATGTTTTTTGCATTATTACTAGTGCTTGTGATTTATGCTACTAGGAGGAATATGATCATTGTGAGGAGAGGCAAAGAGAAGTTTAAATGCTTTAATAAAATATTTCTGTATATTTTTAAGTTTTTAATGTATGATTAATATACCAGGATAATTTTTGCTGTTACACATGCTGACTCACTTGCTTCCTTACATTTTTGTAAGTGAAGTTTGTCTCTTTAACTGTTTCTTCAGCCTGTACTCACCCCATGTAAATCAGTGTTAAAAAATCTGGGATGTCTCTCTACAAATCCATTGAAATATAATGAGTTTAGGAAGGAAGGAAGATAGGGAGGAAAAGATAAAACTAACACTTTCAACAGATACATACATCCTTGTATGTATTTGGAGTTACAGTTTGTCATATTTATTTCTCTGTTTATGCTAGTGCTGCACAGCTTTTGCAAACACAGCAACATGAATTAGATTTTGTTTGGGACTGGGTATAATAAACAGCACTGTCAACAAAGTTCTGCTCCCAAGATCAACTTTCCTGTTGATATTGGATAAAGTGGAGAGAAAACGGGTTTTTTTTAAGGTCTTGGACCCTGTTTGCAGATCTGGTCCTTATGAACACCTAGGGCAAAATCTCTCACAGCTTAGACTGTGGATCTGTCCAACTGTCAAGGTCTACAGATAAACAGATATAGAAGTTATCTAACTAGATCACCCTATTTTCAAGTAGACTGATTAACATGTTACAGAAATGCCTATTAATTCTAGTTTTATTAGAGGTTAAGTTGCAATTCTTACTGTATCCAACACCTTGTCATATACATTGGAAAGCACCAACCTCTGCATTAAGAGAAGAAAGCAATATTATAAATCGAAAATGTGCACTACAGAAGAAGGGAGCTGCCTGGGGAGTAGGGGGGGTGGGGTGTCAGAAGAACCGTGCAGAATTTATATTGAGTTAAGCAGTGGCAATTTTTTCTGACTAATCAGGAAAAATATCCTAAGAGTTAGAGATAGATGACTGTGGAACAAGCTCCCCCTCAGGGAAATGGTGGAAGCCCTATTTCTTGCAGTGTTTAAAACTTGACTAGATACAGCAGTGGAAAGAACATTTTAGGGAATGATCCAAGAACTAAATGACTTAATAAACCCTTTTTCATCTCTAATTTCTTCAAGCCTCTCCCAGTCTCACATGAGAATTTGTAGCAGTGCACTCATATCCTTTTAACACAGAGTTGCACAATTAAAATCAGCACATTATGTGACTTCACGGAGTCAGTAAACTCTGTAATTGTTCTTCTGGGTCAGATAAAATGTTTTTCTTCATAAGTGAGGTGACTGGTAACATTTATTCCTTCATCCATTCTAATTAAGATCTATGTTTCTAACAAGCTGCTTCAAAATCTATATAACCAATTCTCCACAGGAAAACTGGGAAGGGAGAGTGACTTTCAGGACAGATAAAATAAATGTATCAGAAAAGTAAGGAGGAATTTTATGAAGGTCCCATCAAAGAACCTTGAGCAAAATACTCATTCTGGTCGTATATCTTCTACAAGTTATGCAAAAACTCTCAGAGATGTTTAAGAGTTAATTGTCTGGTTTTTTTGGGGGGTCTTAAATGCCATATTGCTTTAACTATAAAAAGACCCACAGTTAGCCACTATTCTTACAGTGGGGTGATCTGTCATATTTGGTCTGGAAGTGGTCTCCCAAAATGTTTTGCCAACAACCTACCTACTACCCAATATCACCAGCCAAGTTTTCTAGGGCAGAAATAGGCTGTGCAGAAACAGGTTTGGTGCAGAAATCAAGTAACACGAAACAGGGCATCCCACTCCAGGCAGCTCTCAACAGTGAGGTCCTTGGAGTGCAGCCATCAGCTGAGCTGCCAGGGCAGGTAGAGCCCAAATCTGCTCTTTCTTCATGGCTTCTCAGGCTCTAACCTTCATCATCAACAAGTACATTTACACTGTAGATGTCAGGAGGAAAGGGAAGAGTAAACAGTGCACATGTCTGTGCTGTTTCTGCATTTCCATCTCCTCATTTAATGTTCCTTTCATCCCATCCTTGCAGTATCTGTGCTTGTCAAGTCATTTTAATGAAAGTTAAAATCCCAGCTATCTAAGGTTCTACAGAGAGGAAAAAAACTGCATTAAAAATTATCTGTAATAATTTCTAAGAATAACCCTTCTCACATAATGATGTCAGCATTTAGCAGATCTACACAAGCATATGTCCTAAGTCTGTTGCCAGAGTCTGGAGTCATGTAATTTCAGTTATGCAAAGTGATAGTTTCTGGCTCTCACTAGCATGAGTTATCAGACAACAGAACATATGCATGTGTATAACTTTACACATACACTTTTAACCACATCTTTTTTTTATTTTGAAGTGTCTTTCTTAATTTTCATTGACCATGGGAGTATCAAAACCGTAAAATGTAGCAGAAAATTGGCATAAAGCCAGTAAAAAAGGAGAAATAGCATAGGAGAACATATGAACAGTATCTGTTTCATTCAGAGGAATTTGAACACTACATCCACCCATCTACTACATCTTTAGTAGAAGGCAAGTCATCCTTTTCTAATATGCATGACAATTTGTGTGTTGGCTTTGTCCTCTAACATATGCAGTTCCCTCATCAACAGAGAAATTTATGCATCTCAGGAGAGCAAAATACTTGCACCTGAGTGCTTAAAAAAATCAGTCTAGTACTAGAAAGTTATTCTCCCCACAACAGGAAAATGCTTTGATCTTTCACAGAATTTAAGGTCAAAGAGAACTGTCTTGTCTGGTCTTCTGTTTAAAATAGACCTTTAACATTTCACACAGGTAACCTCTATTAACCTGAAGATTTTCAGCAGACTAAACTCATGCAGAGACAGATTCAAAAAGACAAAGGTGATGCTGCCTGTTTCTCTCTGCTAAACTATCAGGAATTGTTTACATAGACTAAGGAATATTTCTCACCAGGGTCTCTCAGAGTAATGTGTCCATTGCCTATACTGCAGCTATTTGTATGGAGATTTCCTTAGGCTATCAGTTTGTAAACAAGGTCTTCAGATTTTTTCCTGCCTTTCTGAGATTTCTTATAGTTGTTAAATTCTCTTTTTTTAAAAAAATACTGACAGCATGCCTTTTGCCAGTCAGTGTACCCACATTGCTTGTTCTCTCGCCATCACGTGGGAATTGCAATCATAGCTCTGACACTCATGCACCCACATAGAAATGCATTTATGTCTTCATATGTTTTGGTCTTCCAGTGCCTAACTTGAATATGTTAAACACTCTAAAGATTTTTGCTCTTAAAAACAGAATAACTTTTCCTTTATTATTTAATCTTCAGTGGTAAATTGAGGTTCAAAGGGTAGAATTTTTTCATATATTTCAGTCTATGTGATCTGGCAGACTCAACTTTAAATTCTTTCCTTCTCCCCCCTTTGGTCCATAAGATGTGGACAGCAGGAGGTGTAAGATGTCTCCCTAATCCAGAAAACTACAAAAATTCAGATCAAATTCCAAGCTGAAAAGAAATATGTTGCTGAACCACAGGAAGTAGAGGTGGGGGCACAAAAGTGGGACCATGTCTACATTTTTCTTTTCTTTTCTAGAACTGTGCTGATCTCTGTAGCCTAATGTCAGTCATGTGTACACAAATTATGGCCCCAAAGGAGTTATGTAAATACTTCCTCTCCCTAGAACAAGTGGAAAGCAGACACCACTACCAAAACATAATTCAGTCTTTTTTTTGTCCCAAAGGTAGAGTGCCTAGGCATTGCTCTTTACCAAGGGAAAAGTGCAAAAAAAAAGATAATGGATGTTTTTATGCCAATCTTTGCATCTTTTAGCTGCCCTGGTCTGCATTTGATAACTGTCTGTTCTAAATTTGTCAGCTTTTAACAAACACCAAACAGGCATTTTAGTAAATATACACAAAGCTTTTAAACTAATGCAAAAATATTGTGTCTGAATTTTATTTTTCCAATATGTATATAGCAGGGCTATAAAAAAGTTCCCTATAGGTGTGTGTGGGGTGTGTGTGTGTGTGTGTGTGTGAATACTTCATTCTCCTGCCCTGGACTCAGTCGGGGACTGGTGTTTCAAATCTAGCTCTCAAGGGCAGGCCATGGTGTGAATGTGTTTCTCCCTTGTCTTGAGGAAGCCGATGGGGGCATTAATCTGTCTGTTTGGAAAAGTGATATGATTAAAAAAAAATAATCTGAAGGCTATACTAGTTTTCTCGATTTAGGAAAAATCCTCTAAACTGTTGTTTGAATAACTAGAGTTCATGGCTAGAAAGACAAAATACAGTCTGCAGAAGCAAGTCCTCTTGGCTGTGTCTGCAGCAGTAAACTAAGCAGTGCCAGCAAACATTCCCAGGCAGAGAAGCACAATCATCTGTATTATTAAATTGCTAAAGTGGTCCTTCACACCGTTTTGGCTGAGCAGCAGCTAGCACTCTCCCAAACAACTCCCAGACATGATATGGTCACTGGCATGGGCCAGGAAGCATTCCTGGTAGTTTGAACATGGGCCTTTCCATGCCAGTTGGCTGCAGGAGTGGAGAACAGTCTCAGGCACATTTTATTTCTTAGCAAAGACACAGCTTTGAGTACCCCATTCAAACCTTGTTATGATTTTATCAAGTTATATTTTAAAAATACAATGGGATAAATATGAGCAATATATATAGGTAATATATAAAGATAATTGATTAAGTTTAGATTAATCTAGCTAAATTAATCTATGAACTGCAGCAAGCATGGTGTCAGCCTAGTATATATGACTTTCATCATCCTATACCCAGTTAGTGACGACGATTCTGTGTATACTTGGCCAAAGACCTTAGCTGTGTGAGAGGAGTTAATCCACACCACATGACTTAGGAAGCACATATAGCTCCCTGCTATAGATAACAAAGATTGTATAGATACAGGTTGTTCATTTTCATTGGGGTTTCTTGTTAAATTAAGAAAATAGGGAGGGCCCCCTGGCACAAGCCTGTGCGTAAGGATACACATACTGCAAAGTAACAAGATCTGAGCTACCTCTGACTGAACTACCTTTGATCCTAAAACTCCTCAGCAGAGAAAGAGCAGGACTGCAGCCCTCCTGAGGGACTACTGTTTTAGTTAGAGAGGAAAAAAGAAGGTTCACAGTTACCACAGAGGATTTCCTAGGCGGCTGTTGCACGTTTCTGTTCTGAAGCTGCTCTTTAGACTTAGTGTATGAGGCAGTGCACGTGGCAAAACCTGACCAGTGATCTCTCCCCTCCTTCTGACAAAAACTGTGGGAAATTATAGTGAGAAATTGTATTAAGAAATACTAATGTCCATGAGGGGGCATTCAGAATTCAGCAGAAGAGACAGTGCAGTTGCCCATGATGCTTTGACTGTGCATCCTCAGTGTGGTATATTCCGGAATGCAGCTTAATGGTGGCCTTTTATATTTTGGATAATGAAATAACCTCTCCTTTAGTGACACGAGTTGTCTAGTCAGCTGAATGATTTTCTTGAAGAACCAGAGCACCAGTTAAGTATATCGCTGTAGCCTTCCTTATTTTGGAAAGTGAGCAGTTTTAAGCACTTGTTTGATGTCAGGCAAGTGCTAGATAATTCAGTGAAGCAAAGGACAGATTGCATCACCAAATGTGATCCGGTCTTTAGCTACATAAGAGGATCTAAATAAACACCAGATCTGCAAACCAGCTTCACACTGAGATTTGTCAGTTTTATCATCAGTTTCCATTTTGACAGCTCATTTCACATTCCAGCCTTATTTCAAAGCACACAATTGGAGTCAAAATTATCTGAATGCTGTTCAACATGAAGTGACTTATTTCCTCTCTGCCCCCTCACTGGATTTTGCAAGACCTAATAGGCTATATTTCAGTTTTTGAAATTGAAATTTGTAGAACTGCAAGAGGAAACATTAAATCTTCCAGGAAACCCTTGGACTGCATGCACCTCAGACTAACCTATACCACTTTTCCATTTTTCCCCTTTTGCAGATCTACACAATTTACTATTCATCAATATCTGTTTGTTACTGGAGAAAGCAGTACATAGTAGGACACTGCATTTTCTTATTTTCTCTCTCTTGTCTTTTCTTTGTAATATGGAGTCCGGAGTCAAAAAGGTAACTAGGCTTTATTTTAGTGAAGCACTCAGCTGCATGTTTAACTTACTCTTTAACTATGTGATCCCACCAGTGAAACCACTCATGTGATACGTGGCCTTAAGGGCCTTGCTGAAAGTCTGTCTTCCTGAAGACTGAAAAAAATTATCCAAGCTAAAAAAAAAGAATTAGCCTGTTAGAGTGCTGCCATCTAGTTAGATGAGTGCATACAACAAATCCATTTACAGCGCTTGCAATATCTCACTGCCCAGTATGCTGGGCTGCCTGCAGAAAATCTTCGTGGACAGTCACTAATAGCCGTTCGAAGGGATATATTGAACCAGTTACTTTGGGTTTGTAAAAACATATGCATGCATACGAGCCCTGGAAATTCTGGGATCCTGCAAAACATAAGCAGATTTGTGCTGAACTTTGTTAACTTGTGCTGCAGTGCCATAAGCACCCGCAATTGCCACAGGCTTCTGCAGAAAGTTGACAGTGCTGCACAACTCACAGGAAGCAGGGAATGGTAGGAAAAAGCTATTTTTAACTAACCCAAATCATATATGAACATCACAGCCCATATTTGATTTAAGCATGTTTTAATATGCAATTTTTGAGGCAAATCAAAGCAGAAGAAAATTACACATTTGCTCTGATATTGCCTAGAAGATTGTGCTTGAATGTCTTGGGGTTTCACATGGGACTTGTTATATACCAGGCAAATGAAAGTGCTATGAAAACAGACTTTAAAGTCTGAAATTAGACAAGATGCAATATGCTTATGGAGTGATACAAACTGTGTTAAAAAACAATGTTCTATGCTACAGAAGTAAAATCCTTAGCTATTTGAAAAGTTAAGAACTGTGTTATTGGAAGGACTGCAATTGGTGTTTGACTACTGCTTGTCTGCCTTCTAAAGGTGAGAAATAATCATGTCTGGATAAATGACTCTGTGTAAATTCTTTATTTTCTGATTGGGAAGTGTGCTTTCCTATAATGCATTAATTTAATATTGTCAGTTAAGACCAACTAATTCCTAAGAAAAATTACTCTCTTATTACAGAAGTAAGACACATTTAGCATTTAATAAATTTGACATTTACTTTAACAAGTCAGGTATCTGGTCTTAACTCTTAATTACCTCGCACTTGTTTAGCAACCCAGTTTCTTGCAGCCTTGACCAGATGCTTTGGATTCTTCCAGCATGTTCAGGGTGATTAGCATAGTTCCCACACATACACTGGTGCTTCAGCATCAGACTGTCATACACAACACCTTCAGCACAAAGACAGCAGAATAAGAAATAAAAAGTGAAAAAAATGCAAATTATACTGTTCCTTGTCGTGCATACCATAGCAAAACTGGATTTTATTTGACAGTTAGAGCAAGGTGAAAATCACAGAATCACAAAGTCGTTTAGGCTGGAAAAGACCTCCAGGATCATCAAGTCCAACCTTTGACCGATCTCCACCTTGTCAACTAGACCATGGCACTAAGTGCTATGTCCAGTCATTTCTTGAAGACCTTCAGAGTTGATGACTCCACCACCTTCCTGGGCAGCCTGTTCCAATTCCTGAGAACCCTTACTGTGAAGAAATTCTTCCCAATATCCAACTTGACTGTCTCCTAGCATAGCTTGACAACATTTCCTCTTGTCATGTCACTGATTGCCTGGGAGAAGAGACTGACCTCCCACCTGGCTACACACTCCTTTCAGGTAGTTGTAGAGAGCAATAAGGTCTCTCCTGAGCCTCCTTTTCTCTAGGCTAAACAACCTCAGCTCCCTCAGCCACTCCTCATATGACTTACTCTCTTTGTTGCCCTTCTCTGTACCCAAATTCTTCTTTCCTTTGTGAGACTCTGAATTTTGATTTACAAGGAATATCTTGTGATTCCAATAAGGCAAAAATTAATTCTCAAGAAATTATATCAATAAATACAATTAAGTGTAAAGGAGAAAGGAAATGGAGTAGTGTCTCGTTAAAGCTTTTATGGCTAAGAAAAAATCAGTCTTATTACTGAATCACTTGTTTTCTTTTTCTCTAATGGGTAAGCTTAGTTGAATCTGTTAACCTATATATATCAAGAAAATGTTATATATTTATAGTAGTGTAAAGAAAATAATTCAGTAAAACCTTTTAAAATTTTAAAATAAATTTTGAAATGGCAGTGCCACTCTGCATTTGTACTGCTTAACTAATACCATATTAATTCCAGATCTCAAAGTATATCAAATGAAAGTTTCAGAGAGTTGAAACAGTGGTAGCCAGAGTCCTTTTTCATTAAATGAAAAGTTCCACCCACTACTCAATTAGGACCAAATCCTGTTGTTTGACTGCAATGCAAGGTACCTTTTGAATTTTCTATGGTCATTTATTCAAGGACAGAACAGCTTTATACAAAACAACTATCAGTATCACATTGCTCTGTAGCTGCGTATTGGGAGCCAAAGAGAAATTTTAGTGAAGAGGCTCAAGCTAAATTCAATTTTCAAGCCTTTCAAACCAAGTCTGAAACACCGAAAAGTTATTTTCTTTATTTACTTGTTGCTTGCATTTCCCTTAAAAATGTCTGGAACAACAATTATTTTCCTTACCCCTGTGGACTATTTTCATTTGGGAAACATTTGGATTTTTCTTCCCCTCACAGTTGAAAGGGACTTAAATTAACAATTTCTGCAAGCTGCAATATTTGGCATTCAAACCCTCTTTCTTATGTGCCACCACTACTGGGGATGCCAACACAGTTCTGGGAAAATTGTGTTAGCCTGCTGCTGAAAAGTCAGCCAGTGAAGAAAACACAAAATTAAAGTCCAGATTCAACAACATGCCCAATACGACCTTTATTTAGCATAGTTCTTGAATGGATATTGAACATCAATAAAGTCTTTAAAAGCTCTACTGAATAAGAGTCTGTATACATTGCGGGCAATTCAAAGTTAAGGTTCTGAGATAATTCAGTTAGAAGTCAGCCAGAAATTATGCAGCTCGAGAAATATTTATGCTGCCATATTTCTTAGCTCATGCACTTCAGAACTGATCCTTTGGGATCTTGCTATTTAAGCCAAGATGATAATACAACAATTATGTTTAGCATAAGGAGAATGCAAACATAATATCTAAGTGCAGCATTACTAATTTTATGCTAAATTATTATCTAGCAAACATGATAGCTCATTAGAAATAAATTCTTGTTTACTTTCTTGTTTTCTTTTAAAGAAAAAAAAAGGACAACCAGTGAAAATCTGGAGCTAATAAACTAATGCAGCTTAAAATATCTGCTGGCACTGTCAAAGTAGCTAATAATTTCCTTTCTCTGCAGTTCTTTGCTGCTCTATCATGAGGTTTTGCAAGTTGTTTGGAAGTATGCACGCAAATAAGTGCATGTTCACATACCTCACTTTCCTTTTCTTGGCACTCAAAGTTTTAACTTCTACAGTCTGTTGTCTACCCATATTGTAGTTTTGCAGTGGTCATCATACCAGTAGATTAGAAAACATTTCCTCCCATCCCTCTGACTAACAGAGAAGATGTTCAGATGCTGAATGTACATGCATCAGGACTTTTAGAAGATTTTAGTCAGAGTAGGTAGTTATAGCAAATAGATTTGAATGGAAACACTTGTTAAACGGTAACAAAATTAGCTGAAAGTTGAAAGTACCTCCTACCTGCCACTCTTTAAATACATTTTTTAATTTTAATTATTTGAATAGTCCAAATAAAATATGTTTATATTACTGTGTTATTGCTACACAGAATTGAGTGTAATAATTACACTTTTTGATTACCTATAGCAGGGCTGCAACCAATTTTGAAGTGAAACACTGAAACTGTATATTCAGGATGCCTCCTCTGGTTGCCGTAAATATAAACATCCCCATCTTAGTGCATAAGTATTTTTCCCAAAATAGAATATAATTAAAAATGTAATTTTATTGTACATGGGTTATTTTGTCTGAATCAAAAATCAATTTAATCAGGTCAGGTCAGTATTACACGGCAGAAGCATCTGTTCCAAACTTAATTACTAAGCTATTTGCACCAACGAGTGTAAAATTTATTTCTAGAAGGATTAATTGATTTATGAAAAGACTAAAATATATGTTTTCATTTATTTGCAAGCATTTAAATTGGTTTAGGATGTATAAGTGATTCAGATGTGTGGCTGCTGGTCGTACAGCACATGTGCTTGGTGCAATACCAGAATGCAGCAGTAGAGCTTACTGCTAAAAATAGCCTATAGGATTTCCCTGACAGGATTCAGCCAATAATCTCCCCACCCCACAAAAAAAAAAAAAAAAAAAAAAAAAAAAAGGGAGGGAGGCAACTGTTTTCAATTGCAGACTGCTGTGAAATATTAATAAAATATGGTTATTCTGTCTCTCCAGAACAAATGCCTGTAGCCAGATTCTGCTCTCAGGTTCCTTGTGTAAATCTGAGCAGCTCCACTGAGACTGGTGGATTTATTCTGGATTTACACCAATATTACTGAGGTCAGAATGTGGCCCTGATGACAGATGAGAATGGTGCCACCACTGAACCGTGTAATGATAGAGGACACAGGACAAAAGAAACTGAATTTGCATTCAGTCAGTAAAAACTAAGGTTTTCCTCGTGGGGACTCCCTAGCACTCATTCATTTCCAAAATACTTTGGGTCAGCTTCTTTTAATAATGTTTTAAACAGAGGGGAGAGCAAGAGATCTAAAAATCATTGGCTAACAGTATGCTTTGAAGAAGATTAATTGCCCTGGAGAACAACAGTACCAATAAGAAAACCCAAGGGAAGAATATCTAATAAATTATTCCAAATAAAAATCTGAACTAAATAATATCAAATATTCTGTGAACTGTCTAAATGAAAATTAAGTATACTTTATCCTTTTTTCCATCTTTAACTCATTATTTTGTGCATATACTGTGTATATATAGCTTAACTGTCTCACAACAATCACCATTCTAATTGCCTTCAGGTATTTGGCTAAAAGCATTTTCTCTCATGACTCTCAACAATATAGGTTCATTTTGATGCCCCTGTAATAATCTGCCACAACCGTTTTCCTGCTACCTATTTTTACATTAATTTTTGGAGTCTGAATTCGACCTCACTTTACGGTGTACTAGAATTTTCTCCCTTTTCACCCACCCATTCCTTTCTTCCATGCTTTTAAAAATACTGGTGTTGCAACTGCTGTGGACAATTGTTGGTTGCATTTTGTGCTCTCTTAAGGGAGAAAATCACAGAACCACAGGATAGCTCAGGTTGGCAGGGACCTCCAGAGGTCTGTAGTTCAGCTGTGCTCAGAGCAGGTCAGCACTGTGATCAGACCAGGTTGCTCAGGACTTTTATCCTAAAGGATTTTGGAAAGGCTGTATAAGAATGGAGAAAAACTGGGTCTAGGTTTATTTCTTTCCACTGATGGATGAATAAATGCTAGAGCACTATCCAGATCCACAAAATACTATGCACAAAAAAAGCCATTCTATACCATAACATACTATATGTTAATAATACACAGATTGATCTATTTATTTACAGAAACTGTATTAGAACTTGTAACGTTGCAAAGTCTCTGTTCATTGTCACTCCAAAGGTGTGAATCTCATAACCTAGAAAATAGCTCTATTTTCAATGTAATCAAAAACTGTAGTGATAAAGCTTTTATATTTGTAAGTCTGTAAGCTCAGACACATGTCAGGGAAAGAGATTTCTTCAAGCAGAAACAAAAGGCTTAATTGTAGAGGTATGTGCTCTGTTGGAGCTGGTCCATCAGCCAGGGGGTACTGGCTGTTAGCATAGATACAGCTTGGAAGCAGCTACAGCACTGCACTGTCTTCAGCCAGTATCTAGAGGATACTGAAAGAAATGAGGGTACAGAGCAGAAGCATAAAGTTGTAGGGCAGGTGAAAATAGGAGAGGGTTTTTTTTCAGTAATGAGTAGAGATGATTATCTTGAAAGAGCAATGGAGGGTGAAAAAAGATTCAATAAAAGAAAAACAAGGCTTCAAGATAAAAATGTTTCAGATTTGGCGAAAGGAATTCAGTGAAGGACTGAAAATCTCTGTTGGAATAAGATAGGGTTTTTTCTCTCTCTTCTCTCTTTCTTTCTGGTGTTGTTCATGTAGCAATGTTTTACTGAAAGGATAAGATTAGACTCTCTGCCTAATCTTAATACACCCTGACTCTGCACATGCAGTGTCTGTATTTCCATTGCTGACCCTGTCAGGCTTTGTTGTGCCAGATTACAAGCCAGGGATGTCCAATTTCCACCATCTCCATTCAGTGTTTGTCCTACGTAATTTCATTCCTTCTCTTATTCTTACATCTCAGCTTCACATTTTCTGTCTTGAATAGTTCCACTGATGCCATGAGTCCACATATCTACATAACCCCCTTGACCCAAGTCCCATTACCGAGGATTATAAAGGGACATGTCAGTAAACTTTAGAAATCAGACTGAAACAGCAGCCTTTACATTTGTAACTTCATTCAACTTTTTCAGTGAAACTGCAGATTTTTGAATGGAACAGTGAAGCCTACACACAGTGAGCTCACTTTTGTTGTGCTCTGTGAATCTCTTAAAATGAGTTTACAATGTTTTGGGGACTCTACGAACCACAACTAGAAAAACAGTGGCCTGGTTTAATAATCCTGTCTATACGCAGCTGTTGTTTTCGCAGAACCTCATGGAAAGTGAATTAGTATGTTCCTTTCTGTACAATCCGAATGTTCATTACCCAACAAGTAAAAACAAATTTTTGCTTTCCAAGTTCACATTTTAATTGGAAAGATGGGAGGGCATAGTGTCTCACACAGTCATATACATTGCCAATTAAGGACTCTATCCTACATCAATCCATGGTCATGGCCTGAAAAGTTGTAAACTTTCAGAGCATGGCAAGTTCTGACAGCTGATGTGAAGGAAACTTCTGGCATAAACGTTCACAAACAATAACTCCAAGTATTTATTTCCCCTTTTTTTGTGCACAAAGTGAATCTTAACTTCTAACCATGCTCTAATGTTATACTGACATTCAGGTTTTTAAAAAGATGGACCTTCATGGAAAGTTAAATTGCCCATAATAAGAAATGAGGTTTCTGTGGTCATCTTTTTTTCCTTTGACTGAAGATTTTTGGAGTTCCAATCACTTTGCTTTGGACAGCCCAAGAAGTGCTCCCTGAGTGACTGGAATGCCCAGGTCCTGACCATAAAACCTGCCTCTGTAGCCTCCACACAACCATTGAAAGATGCAGAAGTTGTATCCAACATCACCTAGTCATCCCTACAGCTTTGCTATTTCTGTAGAGAGAGTGACCTTGCAGCAGAGACTGACTTGTCAAATGAAGACATTTAGAATTATATCGCAGTTTTCCTCCTTACTGGTGGTCTTTCTTCAACTTATTGGTGGTCTCTTTATACAGGAAACGAGAACACCGAGAGAAGAACTAGAGAATAGGGAAATGAAAGAAAAGCTACAAATGACTTAAAGGCACCAAAAATGCACCTGTTGCTATGTTGCCAGAGCCAGTCAATGATAATAATTTATGACTGTGTGAATATTAACCCTGTGATTTATCAGCTGCACTGGTTGAGTTGGTGCCAGTATAGCATCATAAAACAGAGGAGCAGTACAGCTAAAACTGAACGCATTGCTGCAGGAGGTATTTGAGGCATTTAAGTCTGTTGATCCCACATGAACAAATGCATTTGCCCTGCCTATTAAAAGCAGTCTTTAGGGAATCCTACCAGTCGTGTAGACATGCTGGCTGGGCTGGTCCGTGTCTGGGTGAGGTAATGTGGAATCAGTGGGGGAAGATGGGGTCCCGGACACCGGTTGATGTTTATCTGATCCTGCCATGCCAACTGTAGCCATCTGAGCCTGGTAGATTTGCAACTGGTGGACATGCCGATGTGCCAGGAACTCCTGTTTCCAAGAAAACAGCACAGTAGAAAGAAATGTGAGATGGGATCAAGTGAGACACTGAAGGAAACATGTCAACAAATTAAGTTCATTAGGTCAGGGTTGTAATAAACAGTGTGGACACCCACCCTCCAACTCACACCTAAGCCCCAGTCAATAAATCCATTCAACAGATGTTTTCACACTGACAGTGTGGGTTGCTGATTTTGCTGGAGAGTAGCTGATGGCAGGCAACCTGTCAGTTCCCCCTCACAGAAAAGATGGTTTAACATGCAAAGGCTTGTAAAAGACAGAGGTTTTCTAATATATTGAATACATAATATGATGTTAGAATATGCATTTCATGATCCTACAGAAACAAATTTTAAATTTTCCCACAGCACTGAAGTGAAAAGTGGTGCTCTTACTACTCAGTACCAAAGGAGCAACTGTGAATCAAGCTTCTACAGAGGACTAAGTTCCCAGAGCTCCCGGGAAAGTAGGAACAATTTGCATCTAAGTTTTCACAAATCATTTAGAAATTCCGGAGTTGTTACATGAGATTCCACTTAGGAACCGTCTTTTTTTGTCATAACTGCTGCTGGCTGTAAGCAGTGCAAAACTCTTCAGGGAAGACAGGCAGGTGTGAAAAGGCTGTGACAGAGCAGAAAGGAAGATTTTCTCCTCTGTTTTATTTGTCAACAGATAATTATTTTTGCTGACATGACAAAGGCTGAAGCCAGTAGAAACCTTGGCATTCACTCACTCCACAGAGTAGGATTGCTTTCCAAGCCCTTTTCTTTCTGCTTTTCTCTTTTTGTGCTTATAGTCCTAGACCCTCAACAGAAAGTGAATGAGAGAGATTTCCAAACTATTTAATATGAATTCAGCTGAAATTCACGCTTGTGTCTTACAACTGCAGGCTCTGTTTATCCTCACCTGGGCTCAGTATACATATATGCAGGCATATATATATATATGTATACATATGTATGTATATATATCTGTCTTTATCTTTTGTTTTGTTTTGTTTCTTAATCTCAGTAACAGTTAGCAGTGCTGTATGTTGTTGCTTTGGACAGCAGCTCAGAGGCCTGGCCTGGCCAAGGAGGGATTGCTGGCTGCTCAGAGAGGTGAAGCTGAGTTCGGGCTGTGTGGGAAGGCAGGTGGGAGTACCCAGGAGTACCCCAGCCCCTCGTGCACTGCAAAATAGATCGACAGCTCATGGGATGTGAGACTGTCTACCCTGCATGTAATAAGAGTCCTTTATGCAAACAAGTGCTCATCAATAGCAACTGAAATGAGAACACATGCCTTAAAAGGCAACCTCAAAACCCACATTAATATCTGGGATCACCACTTCAGTGAAAAGACATAAGGTCATGGGAAGGGTAAATCACCTGGGACCTTGTCATAAGTGATTAAATAAAGAAAGAAAATATGAGTAAGGAAAAAGAGGTATTACAATAATTATCTTGTTTTGGAGTCATTGAATCATTTCCCTTTCTTTAAATACAATCCTCAACTTTCCCTGTTGCTTTTTTAATGTATATACTGTTATATACTCCAGGAAGTATCTCTTTTGTCCTCGTAGGCATACATATCTTTTGTAACCTTTGCTGGGAGTACCTGTGATTGGAGAGAAGTAAAGAATGCAATGACGCTATTGTGTTGAATATTTTCCTTATGGAGAACAGAAGCAAATACACTCCTTTGTGAGAATTTAGCATTCATTTTCCTCAGTGCTTTCTTTAGTGGTCAATGAAGGAAGCACAGGAGCCATTTTGCTATCTGTGGCATGATTACTCCCTGTATCCTAGGATCAAGTGGTGACAGCAGCACTGTCTGTCTGATGCTTGTGTATTCACAGTCTCCTGCTTACTCTTTTAAACTGTTGTTTGAGCAGTTTGGAAGAAGTCAAACGCCTACCTGCAGGAGCCATTCATCACACAGAACATTACTACCATAAAGGAAATCAGCAGAATACTGTCATTTCTGCTGCTCTGCTCAACCTCATAGGTTGCCTTCACTGTGTTAATTAAATAGCTGGTATCTGTGTAGTTCTTTGAGCAAGGGGATTTTTGATACTGTCTTTCAGTGTTCACACTAACTGTTGATAATTCATTGAGTTCACTTGTCTGATAATTACTAGAGTACAGAAGACAAAAGGGTTTGTTCCCTTTTGGAATGCTCTTCAAACTAGTAAGGGTGTATCACTGGATTCTGGCTTTCTTCATTAAACAGTATCAGTTAAGTATACTTCTTAAAGAAATCTTGGAAATTCAGATATCAGTGAGGGGGGACTGATGCTGTGCACAAATGTTTCTGTTTGGACTTTTCTCGGTGCTGACTGACCCTGAGGCTTTAGTGCTGCCTTGTCTACCCCTCTTTCACTTTCAGACCTGAACTTCACTTGTATGACACCTGCACAATTTTTTTTCAGTGAAGCTGTAAGTTTGCCATTCATTTGATATCTAAAATATAATCTTTCGAGGTCTCTGATCTAAGGAAGTAAATTTAAGTGATTTTTTTGTATGGTGTCTTGAAGAATAAAAAAATGTCTGGAACACCATAAAACATGGATAACTTGGGGAGATGTTCCTATCTTTGCTTCTAAAATGTTTGTGTCTATGTAGGCAATAGAAACACTATTTTTCATGCATATGAACAAATCAAGGCAATTTTTTTTAATGCTTATCAGTCTGTGTGAACATCACCTAAACCAGACAGCTGTCTATTTCAACAACTTGTCAGAGACCAGGAAGACAGCCTGTTCTTGCTCTCCTGTTTTCCGGTTAAACTGTGTTTTGTTTATATCATTCTCCCCTCCTCAAATGAAACCAGATGCATCCTGAGTATTTAACACATGTTTATCAACCTAATCAGCTCAGGGAAGGAGAAGAAATTTGTGGAGGGTTGGATGGAAAGTTGTATGACACCTGCTTTAATTTCTGAGGTCACAGAAAATTGTTTACCTGTGAAAATCTTTTAAAATTTGTTAAAAGTACAGTAGTTTGTCTCTCCAAGCTTACACTGAGGCTTATGTTCTTTGGTGACTTCCAGATCCTTTAACTGTAATTTTAAAAACCCTATGTGTCAGCAAAGTTTAGACTTGTTTAGATTTTAGTCAAAGTTTTACACTAACTTCCTGGTTTGGTTTCATTTTACAGACAACAGGCACTCATGAAATGCATATATTTTTTCCAGCCACCTACATATTTATGCTGTGAGCATTACAGATACTCTGTATCACAGAGACAAAGCTTGTATGGATTAATGCAATGAGTAATGTGGATAATCAACACACTTCTCTGGCTCCCCAAATGCCCACCTGGCCTCTGGAAGGGATTAAAGCAATACAGTGAACTCATCTTCAGGTTTTATGTGCTACAGCCCTGCAAACACATGTCTATCTCTCCAGCAATATGACAAAAGCAGTATTTGCACATCTGCAGGGCTAGTGATTTGTGTGAATATATTTGGAGCATTTCTTAGGTAACCCGAGCCATGTCTGCCTGGCATGGAGCCTGCTAGTTCCAGGTGCCTGAGATTAGTTTATTAGTAGAATCAGGCAATTAGGGCCTCTGCCGGAGCTAGTGGAGGGCCATTCATCCTCTTCCCCAGAAATCAGCCCAGGCCCTCGGTAATTATTTTGAGGAGGATTTTTAGAATCTTTATCTAAAGAGAAGATGAGCCTTTTAGAAGCATGAGAGGTAAATATTTGTTGTTCTCCTAGTATTACTGTAAGGCTTGTTTACCAGGAGTTGGAATGAATTTGGGTCTGTGAGGCTACTCCTTTCATGTAGATGTCTGATTTGTACATTTTGGTGTTTAACATTTTGTTAATTCTAAGGATTTTAATGAGAGCTATTTCCATATTTCAATTGACTGTGAGAACTGATGCCCTATAAGTGCATTCAGTTGTATTATTAGATGGTCTATGCTGGATGATAAAGCATAGGTGAATTGTCTATGGATTAATCCTCCTTCAAGCTATTATGTTTTGTGCAGAGAAAAAATGTGGGGTTCACTCAAAAACTTTTCTTGCCTCTCGACAGTCTGGTTTTTAATGTAATTTGGTATGTTAATATTTAGTTTAATCACAGCTAAGTAAATCCCAAGATTTGTATGTCTGTAGCATAACCCTTAGAGTGTATGGGCATATGCACACCTCTCTTCAGGGTTTATGCTTTGGCTTCATTTCATTGTGGTAGAAAACATTTTTCTCCTAGGAATAGCAAATTCTGAATTTCTTAATAATAAGAATACTACTTATGATCTCTCGTATATTTGTGGCCAGGTTTATAGCCCTCTGTTGTTGTGCCTCTGCTGCGTTCTGCTGAAGTATGAAGTGTGTGCTAGTGTCTATTAACTGTTAAAAGTCATTCATGTTTTGCCCATCCTGCCCTCCTCTCCCAAAAGACCTCCAGTACTACTAACCTTGAAAAGTTTTTCCTACAAAAGCATGTTTGGTGGTCTCTTTGCTAATTTCCACGTTGTTTTCAGAAAACTACCCAATTTCCTGAGGGGGAAAAATACACACATGCACTGCAGAAAGTTTTGCCCTAGGTAGGATGAAAACAAAACCTGTTGCCTTCCAGACCTGTAATTCCTTTATCTCCTTCTTCTGAAAGGTCTTTCTTAAACCTGCTCTGCGGCCTTGTCTCATCCCATGGCTCCTGTTGAAAGCCCTACTCCTTAGCCCTGTCTAGACCCCTGTAGCAAGATGGGAACAGAGTAACTTCAGATCCTGCCTCTTGTCTTCTCTACCACCCTCCTTGGCTTCCTACCTTCCCAGTGCAGTTGTAGCTGAATGCACCCAGGGGGTGTCCAGGCCAGCCAATGGCTGCATCCAGTGAAATGGCCTCTGCTTGCACCAAACAGATCTCAGCCCTGCTTTAAGGTCACCACGGAAGCCTTGGCCCAAACCAAGACAGCACCATTCAAAGTCTGAATCAGTAATAATCTGGGCTCTCAGAAACTTCTCATTCAGTTCAGATGTAGGTAGTAAACAGTTCTTCAGA